ATCTCGCACAAGGTGGAATATATTCGTCGGGTACAGAAGGGGGAACCACTTATTCAATGTCGTGTATGCATCCAGAGGTGTCAAAGAATTTAAACGCTTTTGGTACTTCGGTAACAGCAGCATACGTGAGTGACAAACAGAAAACCTGCCCCGATTCGCCTGTTCTACGTCGACCCGTAGGTTTGGCACGCCATCTCCACTTGGGTGTACGTGGCGGCTGCAGCTCTCTCTAGAAAAGTGCAGTCCTCCCCACCAGCGCCCTGGCGGTAAAGTGATATCACCATGGGCCCGGATTACAAAGCAATCCCAGAATAACTTCATGTTTAAACTTGACCCTGCGACCGTTGTATGGGATTGAACTGAGACGGGTGCCGTGCACGCTGAATGGAAGCCGAGGATCAGACTCGCATAATCCACCTGTACTAGAGCTGGTACACGGCACCAACGATTGCAAAGTTCTCTATACATGGGGGAGTAATTCCCTTTTACTTGCTTCCTTCTATTTTTCACCTCGTTCATCCCATGAGGTTCCCATGAGGTTGCATCCACGCAGAAGCCTGTGTCGCATTAGGGTTTCTCCTGCCTCGTTGAAAAACTGTTGTACACAGTAACTTGTTTGGCATTCGGGACCTTTGATGCTCCCACCCGCGCGACCCAGATTCTGTTCAACTTCAAGTTGGTCGAATGCTGTGTCAATCGTGCAGTGTACACACTTGTAGGATTTCTGCGAAGGCCCCTTCGCTACCTTAGCTCCAATAGCCATGTCCTATGGCGATGGGTTGTCGAAGCTGCCAAAGTAATTGTGAGGGCATGACTTAACTATTCGTTGTTTTCTACAATTTGCATGCATGCTATTTTGGAAAGGAAACATATTCAATGTCTTTTTTGTTGCCTACAGATCAGTGTTGTATTCGAGTCCATCACAAGTCATTTCACAAGTCCTTCACTAGTCCGGTCACAAGTCTCTTCTCAAGGCCAGTCATAAGTAACAGGGTGAACAATGATAAAAGAATGCTTTTGTCACAGCTCATTCGAATACCTTGTGAACTGGCTTAAGACTGAATGACTTGTGGTGGACTTGTGATAGACTTACAGGGACTTGTGGTGGACTTGAATTCAACGCTGCTGGAGATTAACTGTGAAGAAAAGTACTTGGGCTGCTTGAGTGAGATATGTGAACCTTATTCCCAACTTCCACTTCCAACCTCGGCCTTAACAGTAGATACAGGGAACTGGCCTCAAATAATGCAACCACTTTCTTTTCAATACTCTATTTTGTCTTGTATATCTAGATATATATTTTTATAAAGTGTTAAAAGTTCACCTGACGATATTGCTCGAACACGTCATCCACAGAGTGGTTAATCATGATATTCAAGATATTTAACGGTAGACACGATGGGGAGAAGGTTGGGAGAACATGTGCTGCAAAAGGTGAGATGTCAGTATTAGAGCGCCCTCGTGTGGTTCATGAATGGTGATAATTTGATCACTCATATTGTTACTGTGATTTTGCGCGAAAAGGCAAGATTAAGTTTATGATTGATTGCTTGTTGTTCAACAAATTAATACGACTCTTTGATGTAACTTAGGCGTTGTGTCACCTTCAATTCTTCACTACACGGGTCGTAGAACTTTTCCTGCGACTCGTTTCAAGGCAGCATACGGGTGGGAGGGGCACTTCCTCGCTAGCTGGCGGCGGCATATGGGATGGGCGGGGGAGTTCTGACGGCATCTTGCCTGTCACCCAACGCGACCGGTCGAAGGCGCGTTGATATCACCTAGGAGGGTATCACTCCTGGCACTTTCGCCGGTGGCACGGCCCGCGGGTGTTGCCGCTCGCTGCGCCTTCTGACGGAGCTTCAGAGAAGGTGGGGTGTTCCCTGGGACACCGTACCGCCAAATATTCTCACTTGGGTAAGCAACGACAGATTACGGAATGGACCTGCCTATAGGATGCAGGCAAAGACGGTGGTAGAAGGATTTGCGAATCTGCGGGCCAGAGGAGTGAGGAGTGCATGGAAAGAGAACGGCTGGACTTCAGAAAATGGAAAACGTGCAGGACGTGAACTGGCATAATTACAGTTCGCGTAAGAAATTTTTAGTAAATCATTATTATGCAGGTGATGATTATATTTAACATTAAAGAAATGGACATAAATTTGGCAGGATGCTATTATTGGTTACTGATATTTTCCATTTCGTTTTACTTTTCTAAACAAACGAACGGAAATTACCTTCCAAAATAGAACAACCGGGTCTCATTGGATGTGCTCCACTTCCAAAGATGGTCCCGTGGTGACTCAACACGCCACTATTTAGGACACTTTCATCTACCCGAAACAAATCTTGCACTTTAGTCTGTTTTCGAGGGCAATCGTGCATGTGGCCGGTAATACGGCGTGTCGGTAGCTTCATTTGCCAACTATAAACTGTGTCCAACGCCTGCACACACGAGCGGAAAAAGTCGCCTCACGTGACACGGTCAACTAGAGACACCCGGGGCGCTATTACTCAATCACTTCTAAAGTAGGCGTTGTTAGAGCACACAGCGACACTAGGATTCGTCATCGCAGTTGTAGCAAAGTTTTTTCAAGTGTGAAATGTTTTTAGGCAAGTACCGTTTCAGCCCAAAGAATCTCCTTGGGGGAACTCAAAATTTTACTCTCAGTGATAATTTTACGGTAACTTATACATATTTAAGTGCAAATGATCTAATCTTCAGAACAAATATGAACGTTTTATGAGAATTTTTACTTAAGTGATCACCTGGTAGTGATGCATTCAAGTTCAAGCCGGTGGAAAAAAGCAAAATGAGAAATTTATGTGTAAAATGTTGTCCAAAGGCCACTTTCACTTGGTAAAGTAAATCGTTTCAAGTCATAACCAAGAAAGACCCCTTTCGTTTTACACGCTAAATACGCTCCTTTAAAGAACACGTTTTAAGCTGAGAGAATAAATATTCTTCTCTATTGCTGTGGTAAGCTCATCTGTCATGACAGGAAACTCAGTAGGGGGCGTGTAGCTGTTGTCACTATACGATGTTAGCAGTTTTCGCGCTTGACGTCCCCCATCAACTACCAGTCATGTGACTTAACGTCCTTTTTTGCACGCGCCTAATTTAACTTTTGGGTGGGTTTTAGCAGAATGGATGAGTCAAAACTAGGACTGAAACTACTTGAAAGACTTGAAGTTTTGCATGGCGCAGAGTGACCAAGTGATGAGACTCTGCGGTCAAAGAACCATTTGACTCGACGTTTCCAACAGTGCGCTCTGGTCGTCTTTATTAGACTACAGGGCTTGGGTATAGCATTCTGAGCGGACAGATTAAGGGGATGAGTTTGGACACTTGTAGGATGTGATGCTTGATTGCGTCTTTACTCAGCTTTAATAAGGCCTAATTTTTGCCACTTGCTTGGTTGTGTCGATGTAATTATAACCACAGGTTAATGACATTTTAATGACAAAGTAATCATTTAGTTACAAATCTATTTGAAAAGAAAAACGATGAAGGTCTGGAGACGTTGACATCCAGCTCAGAAAATTTGACATATGGAGATCTGCCTTACTTTTCCGTCCTTCCCATAGCGTGTGCATGAAAAATAAACAAATGGTACAAACCAAACTTGTAAATAACCCCCGACATTAAAATAAATTCAAAAACTTTTTATTTTCACCTTCGCTTCTTTTCTGACGTCGAGAGGAAAAGAAAATCCATTTGCATAAAATGCCGTCGTGTCCAAGAAAGCGATCGTCCTACAATAGTACATTTGCAGTGGGCGACGATGTTTTATAACTGCCACTTTGTGCAGTATCTTCGCCCTTTGTGAGGACAGCGACCTTCAAGAGACACGAAATTCCTCATGAAATAAAAAAGGAGCGGGGGTGTTTATCGAGAGAGTTCATGTGATGAAACATTCAAACAGCACATCTACTGCATAAAAAATGAAAAACAATGCCCGATGGATTGTTCTCATAGGTATAACGGCGTCACAAGACATCTTGTACACAAATGTTGTGGGATTTCTTTTATCTTCCCAGTCTGGTTTTGTGTTTTCCTTGCATGTCTATAAATGTATTTTATAGCTCGTGTAGGGGTCATGCACCTCCAAAATGTGTGTGAATTACGGTGCTGCATTCACGATGAAGGACATCTCGCGAAAGGTTGTTTGAAGATCCATTGAACAGGAGCCTGTCAATGATGGGATGTTTACATAAATAAAATTTAAAAAATATTTTTAAAAATACTGAAACCTTCTCAGGTGATTGACTCACATTCATCAGAAGATTTCCTTCTTTCTTAGAATGGGTCTTACTCATCTTTGCATTTTTGGCAACAATATAATTGTATCACAAAAACATTTCTTATGAAACACAGGGTGTCTTTTAAAAAAAGGAAGGAAACTGAGATAAAGTTGTTTGTTTCTTGTGAATGTGACTTATAATTTTTGTAAATGGTAACCATCTTCTGTTTCATTATGACGTCTTCTTGGATATGACACTAAGAATTCCAAATTTCCGTCACATGATGGACCAAGTAAAAAATCCCTGTGCACCAAAAAGCTGGTATGGTGTTGAATTCATACTGCCCAGAAGTGGCTTTTGTTAATGTAGACCGTATTCGCAGGGAAACAATTTCAGTCAGATTCATCTACGTAGTGTGTGATTTGAAAACGTTAACTTTAAAGAACCAGACTCTATTCTACGATTTCATTCCGACCTCAAAAATCACCTGGCAGGCCTACCATCCTATTAAGGGGTTTCAAATGCATACAATACATTCAGGGATACAACTGAAATTGGGTCCCCCGTGAATTCGGTATATTGTGCGCTAATTGTCATGTGCACTGACACATAATCCACTATTTTGGCTTGTCGCAAGTCTCTCTATAAACACCTCTGACCGCTTGTAGAAGTATTCGTCGTCCATCTTGGATCGATCTTCGGCTAATAACACTGTGTCTTGTTCTTTCCCTTTCTATCCTGCTCTGTCCTGACAGACGCCTGTGGGCTCTCGGATGCTGCACACATCGAGAACTTGCAAGAGAAGTCCCAGTGCGCCCTGGAGGAGTACGTGCGCAGCCAGTACCCGAACCAACCCAACCGATTCGGTCGCCTCCTCTTGCGCCTACCCTCACTCCGGACTGTGTCCTCGCAGGTCATTGAGCAGCTGTTCTTCGTCCGGTTAGTGGGCAAGACGCCCATAGAGACACTCATTCGAGACATGCTCCTATCTGGCAGCTCCTTCAGCTGGCCGCCCTCTTACATGGCTGTGCAGTGATGGCTGGGTGGCCAATGGAGGGCGTGTTACCGAGTCTGCACACCTACAGTGGAGTGTTATTAAAAGGAAACAAATGCCTCAGTGGCAGAACTAGAAAAAGAAAAGGCTAAAAAGAAAAAAATATAAGACAACACGTTGAGACCGTGAGAGTATCCATGGAATCAAAATCTTCTCAAAGACCGATTTTTTTTTAATGTGAGGTCCCAGCTTTGAAAGAACTCAAATGACATTGATACTCCTAGCATCCAAATCGAGTACTAGACGCTGAGTTGAAGTGCATGCATTAAATGTGTGGACACTTGCAAGTTACAAGATCACAAAACCCGGAGCTCGAGGGGAATCTTCACACTGATATGGTGGGTTTTATATTATGCTTCATGAAACGGAGTCACCCATAACCGGGACTTAAATAGTTACCCAACTGTGTATCATCAGTTGAACCCAAAAGGCATGTCACGATTGGCTTTTGATAGGCCTAAGTATTGTTAAAGACTGTTTTCCTTTATGCAGTGTTGCAAAACCACTTCTTAAGTGAGTGAAAATGATTAAACCAATGATACAACTTTTGGCATAACAATGGGTCGTGGTGCATAAAACACTCACCTGCTTTTTTCCATGCAAGTCCTAGATACTGGCATGTGTGTATTATTGTGACTCACGTTTCCAAGTGCATTGTGATGGGTATTAAATTTGCCGCGTTCTAGACAGAAAACGTTGGAGAATGTCAGGCAAAAAATGAAGTTGCCTGCGCGTCATACATATAAAAATCGAACTTCCCATTGGATAGAATTTGACCCACTTACCTTTTGGAGGATGTTGAGAGGGCGGAAAAATGGCTGCATTATAGATACTTTGTAGGTCGGTACTGACTTAGAAGGCTTTTTGTACATGACAGTGTGAACTTGTGCTTTGGGTGAGAGTTGATTGAGAGACTTCAGAGGTTATTAGTGCGTGGCAATTTGCGTGCAATGCTATGAGATGTTTAAGGAGAGGGTAACTTCAATTATACTGTAGTCCCTGTCTACTGCAGTGCTTAACAGTCACTTAACTTTAAATTTGAGTGTGAATGAATACAATGAAAACTTGGTACCTACTTGGAAGCTGGCCGTACTAAAGTGTATAATATGTACAGTCAGCAAACACATTTATTTTCACTGTCATCTTCCAAAGACAGATACACAGTGGCGTAGCCACCGAGGGGGGCTGGGGGCACGTCCCCCATGTATTCCCGATGCCTCCCAGTCCCCCCCCCCCGAAAAAAAACAGATGAATGGATATTGAGCAAGGCTAACAAAAACTTGCCCCAAAAAACCACACCACTGAAAGCTGATGCCCTCCCCGTAAGATGCTGGTGCCCCCTTTGTGCCCCCCACTAGTAAAATCCGAGCTACGTCACTGCAGATACATCATATTTGTTTAATAGCTACATTCATTATTTGTTCAAAACAATCACAGATGAAAAATCACCGTCATGGTTTTGAAACAAGGATCCTAAAATTGGAACCAAATAGGCAGATTGTGCACTGGTGGGCAAGAACAAACAATATCTCAGTGCTCCGTTGAACACCGGCTGGTAACCATCTGCATTTGGTCTGGAACCCCCCATCGCATTCTCTGCCCCTTTGGTGTGGTTTTTCCCTATAAATCAGTGGAGGCATTTTAGGGCGACGTTGGGGGGTGGGGTGACTCAGATGAATGAGTGACGTGAGAGCGAATGGAATGCAATGGAAAATTAGTGAAATTAGATGAATGCACATGAACTGTGAACTCACTTTGAGTCCATGTTATTTGAAATTTTTACCGTTGTAAACAGTGAGTTAGTATCAACGAGTGTGAATTTTGTACATAAACTGAAGGTAAATAAACAGATCATTATTCATCCACCTTCTGTAACATGCTCTGTTTCCAAGGTGACTGCCGTTGTTCACTGCAAAATATCAATTTCTGGCTGCTTGTTTGTTCCGAGCCAACTTTAGAAGGTTGAGGTTTTATTAAATGAATATTCATCCTTTGAATATGGATATTCATGCATTTCGTTTATGACTTCTTCGCTAGTTGAATTAGTTTGAGTTTTGCTTTTGAAATCTGTTATGATCCTTAATCATTTTGTGCTTTAATTATTGTTATTTTGTTTTGAAAGTGATTTTTTAACGTATATATGCCACGTTCTTGCTATCAGAGGGTGTGTATTTCTAAAACAGTGCTTTTGGGTGATTTTTTTAATTTGGGGAAAATCAGCGCTAGCTATGTTGTCAATTGAAGAAAATATCTTATAAAAAACTAAGTAAGCGCCATAATATTGATTTGAGGAATTGTTAAAGTTGCAAGCAAACTTAAAAATCCTGCTTTGTACTAAAAGAAAAACTGCCACAGCTGAAATATGTTACGGTATGGCTTGTACTGTATACTTTGAAATATAGTTATGACAACACAATGAGTGCTCCATACCTAGATTTTTGTGTGTGGGCAGGGGGAAGGGTGTTGAAAAAGGAAAAGGAACACATCTGAACAATAGGGGAAATTTTACTGTTTTACTTTGAACAAGTTTTAAACCTGAAATAGTTAGAGATGTCGTCCCCGTTTCAGGGTTTGATCTTATGTCACGTTTGCTTTTTTGTCTTGTTTTGTTTGTTTGTTTTTTTCATGGAAAAATGTCACCCACAGTTTAAAACGTTTTTGAAATACGTCCAGTTTGGGCAGAATGTAAGCGTTTTACCTTTGGAAATGAAGATATGTGGTTCTTTTGTTACATTGAGACGTTATTTTGTTTGGAGGAGTGGAACAGAAACGTAAGTTTAACGTTTGCCAGCAGGATAGAGTGATGTTCTACATTCTCATAGGTCAAAGGTACACCCCGTTGCAGCTGGAGTAGAGAATTTGAAATGAAATAATTTGAAAGGTAGATTTTTATTAATAAAAAGATTAGGGTCGTATTTTTTCCAAAAATGTGAAGAATACCTGTAATATATCTGTTTGTATTTGTGCTGCTTTTAAGAACGTTCGTCTAGTTTGGGGCACTTCAAAAGTGCGATATGATGAGTTTTTTCTTCTGAAAATGGGCACTAAAAAGGAAAGAGGTAATGCATTCTTTTGGAACAATTGGCGGCTTGCGTTTAGGTAAACGTACAGTACATCAAAATTGCTTTGTATGCAACCTCTACTCCATGGTCTGCGTGCACGTTCTTGTTGGGCACCAACATGGCAAACAAGGGAACCAACATGGCGCGGTAGGTTCGCACCCATGGGAACGAGGTTTCTTTGTATGCCGAACATCACGACTACGACACATTTAGGCATGCTCAGTAATGCAACTAAAATGGAATGTCACAATGATGGACAAACTGAAAAACAACTAATGCCCCAAACATTGTGTCATTTTAAAAGGCATTTCGACCTTTGTGAGAACTGTTCTGATTACTGCTTTAAAGTTGCAGCTTCAACGTACTTCGCTATGTAGGTCTCAGCGCCAAGCTGAAAAGATTGCCATAATACGGCGCTATGTTTGTCATCGCTTAAACAGCACGAAAAAATATATTAATTGTATTATAATACACAAATTTCAAAGACGTTATGTTTATAGTTAGCTGTAGATCAATTATTTTGGCTATGTGAACATGTAAGATACTCATGCATATATATGTGTTGTATATATTTATGTATATGCTTATGCATATGTAGCATATAATTATATATACATAATACATATTTACATGTATACATAAATATATGCACATATCAACAAATATGCATATTTATATACACACTGGAATATATGTACCTATATACCCTGTCACCCTGTCAGTGGACATGCCAATATCGTATTTTGTCTTGAGCACTGTCTTAGGGTTGTTTTGTATTGTTTTATCGATTTGTCTAAATCTATAGACCCTAGTTACGTTGTATACTCTTTAGACCTTTACTATTTCGAATAGTCGGCCGTGTCTGTTGTTGTATTTTGCTGTTTTGTACAAAGGAGCTGGTTGAAAACCAGATTAAATGGGATCTATCTGTTTCCAGGAAATTTCTGATATCCCGAAGGCTGTTTGTAACCGAATTATGATGGTCGTTTGTTTTAAAAACAGTGAAGTTAGAAAGGGTGTTGCATATTTTTGTATTCAGTATGTCGGTACGGTCAGACACACAGTAAAACCCGTATGGTTGTACGCTGTTTGTGAAATTAGGCTTGCATCCCAAAGTAGCTTGGGGTTTTGAGGTGGATCACATGGAACATAATTATCGACAACGGTAGCTCTGCTGAAAGTAAGTCTTCACAGATATAGCGTGCATTTTTATAACTTCATCAAGCTCTTCGAGTCTTTCGAATAACATGTGTTTTCATCATGCTGTCTTGATCACTGTGTTTTCACCAATAAAAGTCATATTTTGAAATTCACATGAACAGCGGCAAAGCCGTTGACTCATGGGCTACTTATAGCCGTTCGACAAAAAATCAAAGTATGGCCGATTCAGAGTTAAGTAAAGAACAGAGAAAACACATAAATCAAGTCTTGAAAATATTTCACAATTTGACTAAATGATTTGTCAAAACACGTCTGACTTTGGGGGGAAAGACCATTTCTGTACGACTGTTAATATCGCATCTCTCTGTCACTACACATTTTTAAAACTTGGCCGCCCGTGTCCGAGACACAGATTATGTTGAGAGATCAAGAAATAAAGCATGTACCGAGTGTGGGGGTATGCAGATATTCCAGAATCTCTTTTCTGCGTTTTGTGTTTGTTTCATTGTGAGTAAATCCTCGTGTCCTACTTCATTCCAGTATGTTTTGAAAGTCTTTAACCGAAGGGTATAATAGCCGACGGCAGAATCTCCCCTGTCCCTGTTCTGTAAAAATCGTCGCAACACATTCAAGACGGCGGATATGCGTGGATTTAACACCCTCAGTATCCAGTTCGTTACTGTCTTATATGAAAATCGAGGGTTTTCATTCAATCCCAATTAAGTACTGGATCTCTTGCAGTATGTGCACTGAGGTCTTGCAGCCAATTTGATACCAGTGCATTGCTGTGATTATCGGATATACCCGTCTCGCAAAATGTCCATTTTTTCCTACAAATTCACTTTTCCCATTGGCATTTCCCGTGCACGGGCCGACACTTAATTAATGACTCTTTGCAACGAACCCTGTTTGAATTAAAATGTTTTCCCACATAATTAGACGGTATCTTTTATGTGCGTTTTAAACTTTGGGATTTTTTGTCATGGGACAGCCGATACCTTCGGGGTAGCGGTGGGGGAGAGTCCCCCCAACACGACCTTTTTACCTTACAGTCTAAAATGCAACTATCTGAGCTTCCTCTTGTTCTTTAGAACTGGCTGGATATCTACTTGTTTTGGAAAACACGCTGATTGCATTAGTTTTTGACTAGACTCTAATTCATCGTAGACCTTTGGTTGTCAAAATACCGAAATATAGCTTTTCTGACATGCTTGTCCAGAGATGTGCCCGGGGGTCTATCATGAGCTATTTTGAGGGTAAATTCGGTCATACCCCCCCCCCGACAAATACTGTGTGCGCTACTGCATCTGTCAAGTTTGTTTTTTGTCTAATCTGACTTTGGGGGGGGGGACAGTGGCGTAGCCACAGGGGAGCCTGGGGGGCAAGTGCCCCCCCACCCATTTCGGTCCCCCCCCACGCACCCACACACACCCACACTATCATACGAGGGTGTAAACGCCGTCAATCGTGGGCTCCCTATTGTTCCTCTTTTGTTCATACTCTAACCTTTTCGGAAGACCCCCCATATGTTTTGTACACGTTTTCCAACCGTGGACTCTTCGGCAACCGTGGACCCTATTGTCCACTATTGTTATAGGTCCACGATTTGAATGTGTATACAAACTCATTAACACATGGACACCCGCACACAGAAAAACGGATGAATTGATATTGAACAAGACTATTAAAACCTTGCCCCAAAAACCACCACTGAAAGCTGGTGCCTCTTATATTGCTGGTGCCTCTTTTGTGCCCCCCCTAGTACAATTCTAGCTATGCCACGGGGGGGGGCATGTGGGAGTGATTCTTTTGGATGCTAAAGAGTTTAATCCCACCTCACCAAAAACGGCAGTAACAGCGTTAGTGAAAATTGTCTTTTCAGAGAATTTGCTAACATACAATCCCCTGCCATTATGTAAAATGTCTGCATGTGCCATGCGAACAGATCGTATAACTCGAAAATCAGGTTCTGACAAATTCTAGAAAAATTATGCCCCGCTCCAAAAATAAAGTACGTGTTTAGATCTCTTTCGACGCACACGAAGTGACTTTCTGGAAGCCAAAAGTTAATAGTGAAACAACATCAAATTCTGTTTTTTTTTCTGACACAACTGACACAACCTTTCAATGTAGAATTTTACACTTAGTCTTTATGTTATCAATTCTATACTTATAACTGGGAACAGGTCACAAAAATGGTGGTCTTCTATTAAAGTGGAGAGGAAATCCAATTGATATGAAACAACTTGTGCTCTGCTCTTGAATTTACTGTGACACGCGATTAAAGAGGGGCGGGCTATTTGGCAAATAATGGGTCAACCATCGCCATAACGCAAATTTGCAAAAGCCCATCTTTGCCTGGCTCGCCGACAGTCTAATTTCCCGCTGCTTTTTGTAAATAAAAAAATGAAACATTTAATTCAAGGGTAGTCGTCCAAGGCCAATTTCATCGGCCGGGAACATAATTGGGGCCCGGCCGACTGCGAGAGCGCTCAGCCCCGGCTGGGGGAAAGGGGGCTAATTTGTGGCGCAAATGGTACGCGGGGGGTCAATTACAGAGGGTCGGCCCGGTGCAAAGCCAATTTTACGATGATTAAAAATGACGAGTCGGAGGGGGGGAGGAAGGGCAAGTCAGGCCCCGAGAGTCGTCTGGCCTGCGTCCCAAGTTTATCGCGCACAGACGTTAGTGCGAGTGGTCGGGAACCCGGCTCATCACTGTGCCCCAGACGTACTGCATGGAGATGTTGTCTTTATTGATGCTGGCATGTCTAATGAGATCTGACCATGACCTATTTTTAATCGCACAGTTCTGTTTTGTCTGGCGTCTGGAAGAATAATGCCGTCTCACAATGCAGCAATGGCCAAGGGAATTTCGCAGTAATTACCTTTGCATGCGCGATTAATGTATCGCTAGCCCCAAAGAAAATGCTACATCTGCTTCATATCGTTTGCCAGAGAGCATTAATTTGACCCCAAGCCTTGTCAGAAATACATTTATTTGGTTGATTTATTGATTAGGCTGATCGTATATATTTGTGAGATTACTTGTTCAAGGATGACAGCATACAGATGACTTTAATGACCAGAAATTCATGAGTTCTGAGAGAACGGCAAGGGAGAACGGTAAGAGGATGACTGCACCAAACAAATTGTTTTTTTTTTCTCTCGAAACGTTGTCATGACTAAATATATTATTGTTTGCTAGAAAAACAGAAAATTTGTGAGAACGAATCAGTGCCGGATTTTTCTTTTATTTCTATTTAGTTTTTTTGAGGGGGGTGTTTGTTTTTTAATTTGTGCGCGTCAAATGAACGACTACGGACCAAATTCATATGCCCCGTTGCGGCTTCCGTCATGCTTCTGAAAATCGGGATTTTCGACGAAAAAAATCCCGGTTTGCTTCAAATTACCTGTCCCGAGTATGATTGACAGGTTTAAAGTTGCAGAGGATGTTTTGCACAAACCATGCCTCCTTTTGCTTATATCTTTCGTTTCTAAAAATTGTTGCTTGTTTCTGTGCAGTTTCCTCATCAGTTCGTGTTATTAAAGGGTGTGAGAATTCATGTTTTTAGCTGATCTCAGCTTTGTTTTTGTTTAGATGTTGACACTGAATTGCAGCTTTTTTGTACACCTGGTCTGTATATAAGTATGGAAACTTTTACATTTCAGCTTTATGCCAGCTGTTCCGGCCTTAATTTTAAGTGGCCACTCCCACTTCTATATTCGTCCACGATTTATGTGATATTTGATAGGTTTACAACAGAAAAAGCCAGACCTTTCTCTGCTCAGATTTTCAATCATTAATTAATTAACGTTTCCCTAAGACTAATTTGTGCTTGTTTACACGGAGGCATGGACCTTGTATCCGAAGTAGGTATTGTCTCTACGGCTGCGCCATTCAGTGTTGTGCAATAATGACCAAACCTGCGGCCGTAGCAACAATGTATGTATTTAAGACACTTTCCGAATCTGGTTTTTTTTTTGGGGGGGGGTATTTACTTGAATGTTCAAATATGCATGCATTCATAGGGAAGTGGTATAAAGCTGAAGTCAAGGAGCATCTGATACATGTAATTGTCTCCACATCACTTTTACACTAGCTAGCTGTACGTACTAAGGTTCAGCGTTTAAAAATCAAATCTTTGATTATAGGCTCCAAAAGTATTTCTGTGCTTTTTACCCGAAATGTGAAAGTCTGATACCACGACTGAGTGCAAACACGCAGTAGAAACTGAAAGTGAAATGAGATACAAAAACCTTTCTATGGTTTTACATTTTTTCACAAAATCAAAAGACTCACTAGCATTTGTGGGAAAAATCTGAAGTGACGATTGACAAGAACTGCATCCAGTCCAGCTTAACTATGGAACCCATCTGATGTAGGAATTAAAACCTTTGCAACGTTACGCCTTCTCCTCACGCAAGAGCACATGTGAAAACAAAAAGTAATCGAACAAGGAGACTGATGGCACCAGATGTCAGCTGTCGCAATTTAGTTGAAGAATGAAAAGAAAAACTTGAATTCTGACATGGGTGTATCTTAAAGTTGTTCAAGTTAGACATCAAACTGCCAAAAAGTTAAAAAAAGATGGGACAACCGAATAAAATATCCCCATAGGTTGGTCACAGAGGGTTCCGGAAGTTCGTCGCTTGACCTCTTACATTCAGGCTCTGTTGCCCTGGGTAAACCAGTTTAAATCAAACCCATCTGACAGTGAGGTTGACATCACATTCTTTCCAATACAGTGTCTTATACTTTCCCGCGTTTTTTGAGGTCAGACATCCTATGGTGCACTCGGGTGCTGCAAGCAAAGTTTTCCAGGTAGCCCCTCTGTATACTTGCAGCATTAATGTGAAGCTCGTTGCCTACCCTGGTCTAGGCAACGAGCCTATTCCATCGACCTAAATGCAACAAGAAATCTCTTGATTTGGAACGTTTGGGGGACAATCCCTATTTTACTCTTTTGACCCAATGTCATTTAATAATTAGTAAATGGTTAAGCTTTATTATTACAGTACAAAAGCGTGTTGTGTGAGTCAATACTCTCTAGAATCTTATGTCGTCTGAATATTGCAGTTAAGCGGGTGTGCACTGTCTCCTAGGAATATTACAGTATCTCAACGTTTGTGGTATAACACAGAAAAAGAAAATGTTCACATCGCAGATGTTAACAGCTTACCCACAGACTGAACCCTTTGCCTGTTGTATTTTGGGTGATTAGGTGGGGTGAGGGGGTTGAAAGTTAGCTGATGATTGCAATAATGAAGGGCCTACAGATGTTCAAGTTTAACGACAGGTCGACTCGAAAACTTATGCTGTCAGGAGCGCGGGCCGGCAATTTTTGAAGCATCCATCCATAGCAAACTCTGGTCCATTACAGGGCCTAGTTTGGCTAACCTGGAGAATTACTGTTCGGGGCAGGATTTTCAAATGTTCTTTTATCTCTATACCTTGCTTCTTAGAAAGTTACCTTGT